AAAAAAAAAAAGATAGGACAACACAAGCTACACAGTAAGTAACAACGGTAGGATTAAGCATTTAGCTGATACGAATTGAATCGCCTTACCGCCACATTGGAACAATCTAATGATGCTCGAAACCGATACAGCATTAGTTGCGGAGCATTTGATGAAGCTGTTGCATTTACAAAGCCTGCAGATGTGTCCTTGCTCGCGTGAACTTGTCGGGTTAAAAAGAATTATTTCACCCACCCGGTTGAGCAATTCTGTCCTAAATCGTTTCACCTCCTGCCAAGCCACATAAAAGAAAAAAAAAAAAAAAATTAAGTTAGCATGATGAGTTCGAAATAATAAATAAATAAATAATCCAAGTGTCTCTGTATATAGGCTATAGCTATTATCTGACAAGATCGAACATTACATATTGTTTTACCTTAACACGATGGGAAACTATTTCAATCCGGGCAAGCGACTCCACTTTACGTCTCTGTCAAGCAGACACTTGAGTTTGAGAGAGAGATTATCGAGATTACTGAGATTATTATTAAAATGTGTGGCAATTATCGAGATCTTAATTACCTTCTCTCGAGGTTGCCTATGATTCATCGCAACCCACGGAAGCAGCTCAGATCGACCTCGTTTCGTATTTTTCTGCCAAGTAGAGAGTGAGTTAATTGCTGATGAGCACAATTATCATGGTATGAAGTTTAAGGACCAAAATTTTTCCTACACACCCACATTTAAAAAATTGAAAGCATAACTAAAGTAAAATTGTAACTAATTCGTACGAAATTCACTTCACTTCACTACCTGATTAGTATCAGTATCCTCATCATGCGGTGGGGAATCAAAGAAGCCAGCAATTGCCTGCCTGTTGGCAGCCTCTGACGTGAGGATAAAGATAGCTCTCCGGAAGTCAACGGGTTGACCACTGATGTCATCGACGAGTTCACCCTTATCAAGGATCTCGAGAAGGCTCCCATAGAGGACATCATCCGAATCCTCAACTCCATCGAGCATGAAAACAGCAAAAAGCCTCTCCTTCACAAACTCCATCAGCAATTTCTTGATTTGATGGCCGCTGCTCATGTTAATTCTCAGATTGACGTGCATGAAATTCGACTCGAGGGATTCGCTCAGACGTAAAATCAGTTGCCTCTTAGCATCATAAGCGTGCGGGCATAAAATTAGGTGACATTTTGGATTGGGAGGGAAATAAATTTCCGGTGGAGCATCAATCATCTTGGATAAGGCATCGATTATCACGCGGGCAACTGCTTCAGCAGGACTTGTATCGGCTTTTGCTAACAAACTCCTCGTCACTATATCCTTCAACTTGGACTTCTCTTCACCCGTATTAGATGTTGTCACTGGTATTCCTCTTGTTGTTACTACCTCCTATGAATGGCCGTGCATGAAGTTGAGCATAAAAAATAAAATAAAAAATGCAAGGAAATTTGAAATAAAAATAGAAAAAAATAAAAAAGTACCTCCAAGCTCGGAGATAAAGGAGAAAAATTCGAGAGATATTTGCACATGTACAGCAGGGACCTCCCCAACTGTACACTGTTTTCACTGGCTGGACTCAAATGACGCATAATCCTTTTGTGCAACTCAAACAGATAGCAGGCTGACTGCAGTTTTAGCCCCAAATTGGCCATCACGCTGCCAAATGTCCCGTCCTTGTGCTTGAAGTAGGCATCGGCTAGGTCTCGTTTGTTCTTTTCAAATCTAAACGACAGCTCGCCCGTTCCAACCAGGGTGTCGATATATACAATAACATTGCTACTATAACAACCTCGGGCTGTGGCTACCAACTGTGGCCGGACCTCCTCAATCAACCTTTCTTTCAAAGACTTTCCGGGAAATGATAACGACTATTGAAGAGCAAAATAATAATAGACAATGGAAACAATATAAAAATGGAAATCATAGCATAGCAGTCTACTTACGAAACTAGCACGTGAATTCCAAAGCATGGCGTTCAAAGCAGCATCTGAGATATGCGCGAGAATCCTTCCCTCACCAACTTCTCTAACCATCTCCCTAAGAAGCATTCTAAAAACAGCCTTCTCATTGTGCCTAACATCCACAGCAAAAGCTTTATCCACCATAGAATCAAATAGCTCGGACCCAATTAAACGTCTTCCCTGCATTTATAAGTCGATTACAAAATGCATGATGAAAAAAACAACCCAAGAATTAAAAGAGATGAACAAATTCGTACATACCATGGACAGAGCATCTTCCAAAATTTTGGGCAAACAGTTGTGGGCCCTCTTGAATCCTGCTGGATCTTGCTCGAACGCCTCCTCGAGTTGTGGTCTTTCACCAAAGCATGTACAGTTCGCCTTAAGCCCATCCGCAGCACGCCCCCGTCTTGCCGCCATGAAAATAATACACTTGGAAAAGTCAACTCCGGAGGATTCATTTGGCGCATCACCACGTAAAACTTGGAGTAGACCCTTAACGCAAAAGCCCGCTCTATATATTCCATCCAGAAGAATCACCGAATAGGGCCGTTTTCTCACAACCTCCGAGAGACGGCTCAAGAAAAGCTTGAGGCTTGCCTTGGTTCTACAAAACACACAAAGATGGCGAGGTAAATCCAAGAGAATCCACGCATAAATGATTTATATTATAGGAAGCCAAGCAAAGCAAAGCAATCGAGTGCCTTGGCCACGACTCGGGATCCCTTGCTGCCATTCCAATTGGGTTTCCATCGTAAAACTTGCTCATCCCAAACTCCACAAGCCTGCTCGCATCTCCATACCAATGTTGCGCAACGGCCTTGGCAATCTCTGTGATGCCGGATCCTCTTCGGCCAACGAGGAGAAATAAACCCCTCGGCCTGGCCCGTACTCCGCCCGAATTAGTGCAGGAGGCTGCTAAAACTTCAAAGATTCCATCGATCGTGCTGTCGAGTCCCACCAGCTTCTTCTTCGCCAGGCGTGAGGCTTCTTTTTTTAGATAACCAGTGGACGAGGACAACTCAACAAGCGGAACATCAGTCATTCTGCTCACAACCTTCACATCAACACACAAAAATTATGAAAGAAAAAATAAATAAAATCATTTCGAAAGTTATGTAAATCATACAAGCTCACCTCCCTGACATGAGATGGGCTGACCATCAAGTTCTTGTTGAATAGTTTAAACATTCTGAGCTTTACTTTCTCCACAAAATTCGTAATGTTTTCGCGCACTATTGGGGAAATGGTCGTCAGCTGCTGCTTCTCGAGCCTCAACCCAACCTCTTGGAACTTCCTCAGCTGGTAGAATTTCGAGTCAAAGACATGTCTCCATCTGTCCAAGGACTCGGCCAGTAAAAGTGACGACTCGTCACGTTCGAGCCTGGCCCGTGCCAGCCAATCACGGCTATCGTCGTCCAGAGCCTCACACAGCTCCTTCACATCCACAAGCGCACGACAAAGTTCGTCTTGCCCCTCCCTGAACAGTCTCTCGAACACGCAATTTCTGAACCTCTCTGCCACCAGCTGACACGCTCCCTCCATTACCTCGATCCCCATTACTCGGAAATCTGCTAAAAAAACAGAGTCTTTATCAGAAAATGAAACCACGGCTGCAAAATCAACCCGTAACCCACGAAGAAATGGCCGTAATCACACTAACCATCGTCGGCAAAATTCGAATACGAGCATTTCTTGAGAGCGGAAATAACTTCCCGGAAAGAAGCTTTGTCGATTTCGACGCTGTACGTCTGCTCCCAGTATGACCTCCTCGTCTTTATCGCCTTCATCACCTTCCTACGCACCTGCAACTCGGGAACTTCCATGGTTTACAAGCTCGATGTCACCACACACACACACACGCTAACCCTTTTATACCCTCTAATGTGTGTATTCAAATTTTGGCAGATTTTAGAAAACTTGGGCTGTGTTTAGGTTTGCGGCTTTCATCAAAGTCCAGGCCAGGTGAATTCTTTTGTACTACAAATTTGGTTTTGGTTAAAATATAAAATTAATGAGAAAAAGTAATTGAAAATTTTAATACTTTTTATAAAAATATATATATTATTGTATATTTAGTATGACACTTTTTATTAGTACGATTTATCTGTGTTATATTATAATATTTTTTGACTTAGAACATATAACTACATTAAACATAAATATATCAATTGAGAAACAATTTTTTTTTTCTAATGAATTTTAATAAATATTATTATTTTTTATTATTATAAAAATAAATATAATTTATTTATTTCATATATACAATATGGAAGTCAAATCGAAGATCATCAAAAGATAATTAATTTGATATATTATATATGTAAAACCGATAAGAAATACAAAAGTTATCAACTTTTAAATACATTTACAATTCAATAGCTAATTAAGGGAAACAAATCAAAAGTGAGGGATATATTAGTCACTTAGTGTCTCACTATGTAAAATTACAAATAATTACAGGGTTATATTAGTAAAAGTTATATTATAATATCTAAGTTAGCTAAATAATCTATATCTGTATCTATATAATTGCTAGCTAATCATTAAATAAAACCTAATTAATAAAACCTCATTTATTTTCCCTCCAAAAGAAGTTACAAAATTTGTCATTCATATTTTGTCTTTCACATTAATGCACCCTATCTATATATCCCCCTTATATTAATACAGAACGCGCTGAGCCTACGTAGCTGCTTCTGGTGCTTCGGAATCCTATGTGGCAAAATTATATGCTTCGTTATTAGGCTTGGATAAATTTTAATTTATATCCAAACCAAAAATAATTAGGTTCGGATTACCATAAATATGTTGATTATTTATGGTCATGTTACATGTATTAATTGTATTTTAATATCATTCCTTATTATAACTATTTAATTGTATATATATTTTAGAAGTTAATAACTTTTATATTTTTTATCAGTTTTACATATTTAATATATCAAATTAATCTTCTTTTGCTGAGCTTCGATTTAACATCCATATTGTATATATAAAAAAAATAATTTATATTTATCTTTATAACAATAATAAAATTATTCTTAATATTAATTAGAAAAATAAAATTATTTATCAACTATTATATTTATATTTCAAGTAGTTATATGATATAAGTTATAACAACTAATATAATATAACATATGTAAGTTATAAGTAACACATATCATTCTAAAATACATAGTAATATATTTTTTTGTAACTAAATTTAATTTAGTTTTTTGCATTAATTTTAAAATTTAAGAATAATTTTTAAACAAGCACCCGTGTAATACACGGGTGTTATACTAGTATATAATTACTAGCCAATAGCATTTAATAAAACCTATTTAATAAAACCTCTAACTTTTTTCCCTCCATTTTCGGTTACAAAATTTAACATTAATAATTTTTACTTCCCACATTAATACATCATATTAAGTGTAATCATGTATGTTTCTATTATATTATATAATAGTTATTGCTAATACTAACTAATGATAATTCACAATAAATATAAATTACATAATTATAAACAATTGTTTCATTCTAGCTTTGCTAGCTGCGGATTTCTAGGCGGTCTCCGGACCTGTCCTCCCACTTTTCAGCCTTTGGCTGCTTTGTATTTGTGTATTCGCACATTTGTGCGCTTTTGATTTATATAAATCATCTATCGTTTCGGGAAAAAAAAAATAAACAATTGTTTCAAATTATGTATTTTAACATCAATATTATATTTTTCTTTTGTAGCTCATAAAAATATTTCTTTAAAAACAATTAGTATATTGTTTTAATAGCATAGT